CGGTCTTTCTAACAACCTCCGGATTCATTAGGTCAACTGTTGAAGGTCTGTTTACGGCCACCGAAACTACATCAATTGAAACACATGATTCTTCATCAAAGTCATCCCAAGTTAAGTCGGGAAAATACACAACTCAAAACATAAATGGGGGGTCTACTACTGATTACACAATGACCCGGTCATCTGATCTGTCATCCATACCGGAACATCATCTTTGTAGCTGTCGATGCATCGACAAAAGACTCCTTAATACGACATCTAATGCGATCAAAGAACTCGTAAACAAAATAAACGCAGCTCTTCTTTTGGATATTAAAACTCTATCAGCGGATAAACAAAAGTACATAAGTCGAATTGACAACAGACCTTCAGCTACATATGTAGGAAGTGGCGCAGTTGTTTTGTTTATGACGCCAGTTCTGTTGTTAATTATGTTAGATTTCATGAACTTTATAACGTTTCTAAAATCAAAATATCATGGAGATCAGTTCCAGTCATGAACATTCTGGACTCATTAAATATGTTAATTAAAGATAACAGACCAGGTAACCAAGACGTTTGCTAGTCTATATAAAGGGGGGTTTGGGGGTCAAGACTACTGTTTTAAAAACTACGTATATCAATTGTTAAATGTCACCAAAAGATGTTAATTAGCGGTTATAATTGTATGCAAAAAGACATAATAACATACCTTAAAGGGCATAATAACACACCGTTACATCTATATATATATTTGTGACTGTCGTTTGTCTGTCTGTCTGTCTGTTCGGGGTTGGCGGCTACACTAGGTCTGCCCCGAGTCTGAAATTTGTGGTATAGGGATAGCTCGGACCGGGGAGTAACATAGGCCAGGTGGCGTTAGTCTACCACTTCCGGTTTCGGAGTTATGACCCCCGAGCGAAGTCTGTTCGGGGTTGGCGGCTACACTAGCTCTGCCCCGAGTCTGAAATTTGGGGTATAGGGGTAGCTCCGACCGGGGAGTAACTTAGGCCAGGTGGCGTTAGTCTACCACTTCCGGTTTCGGAGTTATGACCCCCGAGCGAAGCCGGTCAGTTCGGGGTTTGCGGCTTCATTAGGTCTGCCCCGAGTCTGAAAGTTGGGGTATAGGGGTAGCTCGGACCGAGGAGTAACATAGGCCAGGTGGCGTTAGTCTACCACTTCCGGTTTCGGAGTTATGACCCCCGAGCGAAGCCGGGTATCCTGCTAGTACTTAATATAACGTACTGTGAAGCTCTTGGGTTAACGAAAGGGCAATACATCAATTATTTTGAGGCTCATCTTTGTGCGGTTAATTAGTGGTTATAATTGTACGCGAAAAGACTGGTAATTTTTGTTTCGAGAACATATTTCAAAATCACTTCTCAACTGGATATTTTTCAAAGTGAAAGAAAAATAAAATCTCAATTGAAAACGAAGCATTTAACTCTTCGCTGTTGTAGCGTACCCAAAGGCTTGTCATTAATTTAATGCGCAAACCCTGCCGCTAAGATAAGAACACGGGATATCCTATCCTGTTTAGTAGACGATGAGACAGTTTGAAGTTGAATCGTTTTTCGTGGACCACCTCGTCATTGGCGAAGTTGAATAATGAGAAACGAATAACGAGGTAGCTTGTCCCTCGTTATTCGCCAATAACGAGGCAAGCCACCCCGTTATTCGTTATTAGTTATTCGCCACTTGAATAACAATCTGATTTATTTACCGTCTATACGTCATTTAATCAGTTTATTAATGCTAGGGGATACTTTGCAATCCATTTGTCTATTTTTATCTAGTGATCGTTTTAAATTAAATCCTGAAATTTCTTCGTTAAAGATACCTGAACAACTTCATAATTAATATGTGAATCCCGAATAACGAGGTGAAAAACGAACAGCTCATGATTCGCTGCATGAATAACAATGTAGACTGTTTTTCTACTGAGGGATACTTGGCATCCATAATTCTAGTCATGACTAGCTGCTTATTTGTATTCCGAATAACAAGTTGAAAAACGAATAAGGAGGTAGCTTATTCGTTATTCACCGCTTGAATAACAATCTGGTTTATTTACCGACTATAAGTCATTTATTCAGTTTTCTACTGCTAGGGTATACTTTTCAATCCATTATTCTATTGTTATCTAGTGATCGTTTTGTTATTCCTGAAATATCCTCATTAAAGATACATGAACATTTTCATATATGAATCTCGAATAACGAGGTGAAAAGCGAATAACAAAAAGCTCGTTATTCGCTGTATGAATGACAATGTGGGCTGTTTTTCGTCTAGAAGTCGTTTTGCTGAGTTTTATACGACTGGGGGATACTTGGCATCTATCATTCTAGTCATGGCTAGTAGCATATTTGAATCCCGAATAACAAGTTGAATAACGAAAAACGAATAACGAGGTAGCCTGTCCCTCGTTATTCGCAAATAACTAGGCAGGCCACCTAGTTATTCGTACCTAGTTATTCGTTATTCACCGCTTGAATAAAAATCTGGTTTATTTACCGACTATACGTCATTTAATCAGTTTTCTACAGCTAGGGGATACTTTGCATCCATCATTCTAGTCATGGCTAGCTGCATATTTGAATCCCGAATAAAAAGTTGAATAAGGGATAACGAGGTGGCGCATCCATCGTTATTCTTTATTGGTGAATAACGAACAACGATTCTAATTCACGAACATTTAATTGTTGATGCAAATGAAACGAAATCTTAAGTCTTATATAAATATTTTTCTTATGATGCAATTTTAAAACATTTAATTTAGTCGTCTTATGGAAAGCATGCAAAAAAAAAAGACACAAATCAATATTTTGAAATTTTACTATATTGTATTTTATGTGATACTTGAGTTGAACACACGCTATACATAATATTACTCATGTTATAGTGTATCTATGTATGTATTTTATTATATGATTTAAGTTAAAGTAGTAATTGACCGATGTCCGAATTGATATCTCCTACATTGATTAACAGGCGTTAACTCCACCTACATATCTCGATTATCAAGTAAAGTTTTCAATGGCATACGGAAACGCTTTACAGCGGCCTCGCTAAATACACTCTATCATTTAGCCTCGATCTAACAGACGTATTTTCATCAGGTTACCCCTTATCTGATTTAATCAATTAGTGAAATCCTATTTAAATCCGAGCTACAGAGTTGATTTTGGTCTTGTTTAAATAAAGATCTCATTTATCATTTCTATAACATCTGAAACCTAAATTAAGACTTGCAATAATCAGATTTAGCTCTTGCATAATGCATGTTTAACAAATGCCCTAGAGTTCTTGTACGGGCACGCCAATATGTACACGGACATCGGCTGTTCCCATTCAAACGACTATACGCTGTCCCTTGCCAGGCCCTACGTCCTACGCCACTGACAAGGAGGAACCACCCCGGAAAACCCCGGTGAACCGGCAGGTTAGCCAGCTAACGCATTACTCACTGAGCCATCATGGTTCCCTGGGTAATTAAAGTTACGAATTATTCTTGGCTTAAAGATACATTATGGGAGATTTTTATAGAGAGTTGGCCATTCTTGCTATAACAGTTCAAAAGTAGATGATGAAAGAAGAATATATTGAAAAATTCAGTCAAATTACTTTATTCTGAACATAGTTATCATCGTTGTAATATTTGCCTAGAAATGGTAGCGAATTGTGTGTTCACCTTCGCTGATCGTTTGATTAACAGGCGTTAACTCCACCTACATATCTCGATTATCAAGTAAAGTTTTCAATGGCATACAGAAACGCTTTACAGCGGCCTCGCTAAATACACTCTATCATTTAGCCTCGATCTAACAGACGTATTTTCATCAGGTTAACCCTTATCTGATTTAATCAATTAGTGAAATCCTATTTAAATCCGAGCTACAGAGTTGATTTTGGTCTTGTTATTTAAATAAAGATCTAATTTATCATTTTTATAACATCTGAAGCCTAAATTAAGACTTGCAATAATCAGATTTAGCTCTTGCATAATGCATGTTTAACAAAAGGAAAAAATGAAATGGGGTTTATCATCCCACCTTTCTGCGCCGACTGGGCTAATGAAGAAAGGCATACGCAGTGTGCGGACTTTTTGCTCAGATAGCGGAGCAACGGCGTGAGGGTAATTGTACCTGCACGCCAATGGGTACACAGGATCTCGGTTTCTCGTCCCATCCGATCGACTATACCTTGTCAGGCTCTCCCCGTTCTACACATCGGAAAATCCTGATCAAGTTTTTTGGCCAACACCGGGATACAACATATAACCCTGCTGGTCACCGCGGTTAAAAAAAGTTATATCCATTTATTGTAATCTTTAATCAATTGTGTTCGGTAAAATACGTGAGCAGTTCAAATTGAAAAATAGTTTACACCTGCTTAGTTTCGTCTATACGTTAATTAAATATTATTTTGTCGTTTGTGATTCAGACATTACTTATTACTTCTGCGATTTGTCTCGTATGATATAGTTTCCTTCATTGATTACAAATTGCGCCCGAAAACATGAAATACACTACACGACTCGTGTACTGATTATAAAGTGTTCATTGCGACAAAACTATTGTATATTAGGATCGCATATTTTCACTTAAATATAACATGAATATTGATTGAAATATACCAAGTATTATTGAAAAATATTGAGTCATAGCTCCTTCAAATAGTTTCAAATAGTTAACAAAGATTCTCACTTCTACAAAATTATCAATAGCACAACCCAATAACAACATGAATTTGCAGTTTTAGATGAGCTATAGTTATGACAGACACCAGCTTGATATACAAAAACAAAACAACCAAGGCAGGCAAGCCCCCCCCCCCCCCACACACACACACACACACCACCCTGCACAGCACACGAGACCAAAGTAAGTAAAAAGAAATAATCGTATACTAGTCTTAAAATAACATAGGGCTAAACTACATTTGATTTCGTTCATATGCACTATGAAAAACCAAAATGTAACAACAACTTAAATGTTTTTTTTTTATATATATTTATTTATTTGTGTGTTACAAAAAAAGCAGCAGCTAAAGAAGTAAACAAAGATATTGTTACATAATTTACCGCGTTCAAAGGGGTTTCGGTAAAGGGACATAACTCTCGTACGAATGGTCGAGGGACGTGAAAATCAATAGGATCCGCTATCTCATTACCACAATGCCTCACACCAAATTTGAAAAAAATCCAATAATAGCCTCTATCGCGTCCACAAGCAATTGTTGGCGGACATACGGACAGTGTGATAACGTAATACGATGAACTTTGCCAGAGTTACTTAGAGGCTTGGCAGGCTAAAACCCAGAGCCTCAAGATCTAGGGGTGTGTGTGTGGGGGGGGGGGGGGCTCCGTCCAAGGTATATCATATATTTGACGGAGCCATAAGCCTTTCTTACACGCACTGTAGTCTTAAAGATACTTTCCCAGGAAAAGTATTTATCGGGTGGTTATTTCCAATAAAAGTATGTAAAATTTGGTATATATGGAAAGTATAGACACCCAATCTTACAAGAAAAATACTGGATTACCCGAAAAAAGCCCATGGGGCAAGCACTGGGCAAAATTTTCAACGTATCACTAACTGGCAACCCGACTATTATCTGCTAGTTTATTGGGTGCCAGCTTAAGTCAGGGAGCGGTTGTTATTTCTTGATCAAATGGTTAGGCGGTTTTGGGAACATTGAGGGGTGTCAACATACAAAAGACTCTGCAAAAAACGGCGGAAAAAGAAGTTGACAGAAAGAATTAAGAATTTACTTAGGCCTCAATATTTATGGTAAATGTACAGTAAGTAATGATAAAACATTCTGAAAAAAGTTGACAGACATTAGAGGCTTTTTGGCAAGTGGAATTGTTCTCATCCGTATCGTGTTACATTGCGTTAATTTAGTTTTAGAGTTTTGGCAGATTTTCGCGCCGTCTACGTATGGGTAGCAGAGCTGAGCGTAGTTCTATTACAGCATGATGGCAGTTATCTACCAAGATCAACATTAGTACTAGTCAAGTACCTAGCCTACAAATTCCTGAAAGGAGTGAAGTCGTTCGACAGTCGCTGAGTTATTTTTAAAAAATTTAAAAGTTAGTGTCGAATCTTATTAAGAATATACCCCTTTTACAGATTTGCAAGGTCCTACCTCCCTAAATTTAGCACGTAGATCAACAAGCGTGCAGACAGGAAAAATATGAAAATTCCGCGAAAAGCTCATCAAAAGTAATGATAAATTCCAGTCTTTGCCATGGTTTAAATCACATCAAATATACACATTCGTGTTCTAGGATACACATAGATTCATAAAAACACCAAGGCACAACATTTCAGCGTCTAAAAGTAGCAAAATATACGATAAAAAGACGACGATGTTATACGGACCTTTTCCGTATGAAAGCTGTTCGATACGTGCTGCCGTATCCGTGTGTCGTATCACGTATGAGAAATACACACGCATTGATGACGTCACGCGCAAAATCGTTACGGATACGCGATACGGACCAGGAATTTACGCTTGCCAAAAGTCTCTATTGCGTCTAAAAACAACTTACTTATAGCTATAGGTATCCCCGTCGAATACAAAGTTTTGAGAGGGAATTGAAGCAAATTCTGGATAGATTGGTTACTTTGAATATGTTTTTATTCCAAATATATCATCAAATCACACAGTTTGTACGCGGGGATGTATCTTTAAAAATCCGTCATCATCCTCGGCTTTGCTCGAGTGCTTTAAACACTTTCATCTCCCTCTAGTCGTGGGGATTGGGGGTCGAAAGGTGTCCCTTTAAAGGAAAAGCCTGGGGTATCTCTTCATCTAAATCCAGCGCTGCTGATGAGTAAACACGTGTCCATTCAGGACGTTAATAGGTGACTTTCATTACAGAAAATAAACATAATAACAATACAAAACAAAAAAAAACAAGAAACACTACAGAATTAATCTTAATTGGGGAGTGCGAATAGAACGCTTTTTTTCTTCGGTCCAAATCTTTTGTTGGACCGTGTTTTTGAAACCATGTTTGATACAAATAATCTGAATCGTCTGATGGGATATATGTTAGGTTGAAATCCAAATGCCGATGCTGCACCATACATATGAAAAATACTTGAATGTAAAAAAAGAAGTCCGGTTTCAGAAAGGCCATGTCTCGCAAACCCTATCCCCCAAATTCTAGATTTCTTCGCAATGCAACTTAAAGTTAGAATACAACTAAAGCATGGTTTCCTATTCGTACTCCTCTTAAAAATATTCTTGCAGAACAAAACGATAGGGCTATAAAAACAAAACAATACATATGAATAATACACAAGTGCAATAAAGCATTGTCTGGTGTTGGAGTAAGCATACCCTGCTTTGATCGTAACACCGGCAAGTAATAGAGAGACAGGGAGGGTTAGTTAAAGACTCGCTTGACACTAACATAGGGTATATTCCTATTTGAAATTAAACTAGTTCAATATCGATTACAATATAAATATTGATTTTCAATTAAAATGTAAATTTGAACTTAAAATGTAAAGTCTCGATGCGTCAATTAGCGCTATAAATACTGTTGTGGAAGTGTTATCTTTTATAGGAATATCAGTTCAAAACCATTAAATTCGTTCAGTATTTACAAAATTATGATAAATTGAAAATTCGTTTGTCTATTCTTCTCGAGCGTAACAAGACGTCGAGGTGTGATATTGGTAGAGGGGATCTAAGCCGGGCATTATCAAGCGTTGGTATTTTGATTTTTTTTTTTTTTTTAAATTATATGTTAAATAATCCAGTACATTTTTAGCGTGTATCAAGCAGTGAAAATTTTTATATTTTGGCGAAAATAAAAATGACGCATCGGGACTTTAATCTGTCAAATTCGTCTAATAATATCTAACATCGATTTTAATAAACAACGTCAATCTTTCACTTAAAATGACGTTTTCAACTGACAATATCGATATTAACAACGCGAAGAGGGTGCAATTGCTAAAAACACGTCTCTCCAGTATGGTTTCTCATATGAACATTTAATACACGGCGCGATGCAAATGGTTTTGTACAAATATCGCATTTAAATGGTTTTTCTCCGGAATGAGTTCTAGAATGAACAACTAGGGTACTGCGTGATGTAAATGACTTTTTACAAACATCACACGTATACGGTTTCTCTCCAGTATGAGTTCTCTTGTGTAATTTTAGACTCTGGTATGAACACAACGCTTTATAACATATGTCACATTTATGTGGCTTTTCTCCAGTATGAATTCGGATATGTTCATGTAGGGTATGTTTAGCAGTCAACCTTTTGAAACATATGTCGCACTGATATCGCTTAATACCTATGTGGCGCTTAATATGCAGCTTTAAACCTCTTTTACCACTAAACACCTTATTACATTGGTCGCATTTCAAAGAATTCCTTCCATGATTATTTCTTTGATGCTGTTTAAATTCGGAATAAGATTTTAACAATGTGTTACACGTTTTACACTGGTAAGATTTCGTTTGATGCGTTTTGTTATGAACGTAAAGAGTTCGGCTTGATTTTAAGGATTTGTTACAAACAGTGCAGTTAAATCTGTTTACCTCGGTATGAATTCTAATGTGCTGTTGTAGATTATTTATAGTAGTGAACTCTTTGTGACATTTTTCACATTTATATGGCTTCTCTCCCGTATGAATTCGAATATGATTTTGGAGGATGGTCTTAATACTAAACCTCTTATAACAAATGTCACATTTATATGGTTTTTCTACAGTATGAGTTTTCATGTGATTCTGTAAGCTGTAATTTGTTGTCAACATTTTATGACATATTTCACATTTATATGGCTTTTCTCCAGTATGAATTCTTATATGACTCTGAAGGATGGTCTTGGTACTAAAATATCTGCAACATATTTCACATTTAAATGGCTTCTCCCCACTATGAATTCTGGTATGGTTTTGGCGAATGCTCTTAGAAGTAAAACTTTTGTGACATATGTCACATTTATATGGTTTTTGTCCAGTATGGCTACGGATGTGACTCTGTAAGCTGTGTTTAGTAGTTACCTTCTTATGACAAATGTCACATTTGTATGCTTTCTCTCCAGTGTGAGTTTTGATATGATTTTTGAGCATGGTGACTCTACTAAACATTTTATGGCATGTTTCACATTTAAATGGCCTGTCCCCAGAGTGAATTCTGGTATGATTATGAAGTATAGCGTTTGTACTAAACACTTTTTGACATATGGTACATTCAAACGGTTTTTCTCCAGTATGAATCCTAATGTGATCCTGTAAACTGCAATTAGTTGCCAACGCTTTATGACAAATGTCACATTTATATGGTTTCACTCCGGTATGAGTTCTGATATGATTTTGTAAACTGTAATTGGTTGTCAACATTTTATGACATATGTCACATTTATATGGTTTCTCCCCCGTATGGATTCGAATATGATTCTGTAAACTGTGATTGGTCGTCAACATTTTTTGACAAATGTCACATTTATATCGTTTCTCTTTAGTATGCTGGTATTTTATATGAGCACGGAGGCTGGTATTACTTCTAAACTGTTTGTGGCATATGTCACATTTAAAGGGTTTTTCACTAGAATGTATTCTCGTGTGCCTTTTAAGGGCATGCTTATTAATAAAAGATTTCTGACACATATGGCAAATAAAGGGCCTCTCTCCAGTATGAATTTTCAAGTGAGTATGCAGACTATTTCCTGATGCCAACGCTTTGCTGCATATGTCACATTTAAAGGGTTCTCCTTCAATATGACTAAATTTGTGCTTGCACAAAGCACTATTAGAAATAAATGATTCACTACAAATATCACATTTACAAGGTTTCTCTCCAGTATGAATTCTTAAATGTATTTTTAAACTGCTTTTAGTTTGTAATGTTTTTCGACATACGTGACACTGAAAAGTCTGATCTCCAGTATGAATTCTTTTATGCTGTACTAAACTATACTTAGTACTCAACACCTTGTTGCATATTTCACATTTGCGGTGTTCTTCGTTTGTATGAATTTGGGCGTGTTTTTGAAGATTGCCATTAGATACAAACGTTTTAAGGCATTTAAAACATTTATAGGGTATCTCTCTTGTATGTTTTGTGTGGGTTGGTGACTTTTCGTCTGTGTGAATATTCATATGCCCCCTCAAACTGTGCTTAGAACTCAATGTTTTACAGCAGAATTTACACTGGAACTCGGCTATATCGGTATGAGTTTTTGTATGTTGGTATAGAAGATAACTGCTTGATCTAAATGATTGACCACAAACATCACATCGATAAGGTTTTTGCCCAGTATGAATTCTGATACGATTCTGAATAGTTTTAAATATTTTACCACGAATGTCACATTTCAGAGATTTCGCTTCCGTTTGCTTTTCTCCGTGAATCCGTAGTTGGTGTCTGTCCAGGCCATATTTGGAGCTTAATCCCTTTCCACATACGTCACAGATAAAACGCATAGCTTGTATATGCGCATTAATATGCCTATGTAAGTTACGGGAACTTCTAAACGATTTACTCCAGTATGGGTTCGCATATGTTCCTGTAATGCGCGCTTGCTGCTTAATCGTTTATTACAAAAAGAAACATTTATGAGCATTATCTGAAGAAATAATAAAGTGTATGTAATTCACGTTTGGTTTGGTTTGATCACAATTATCTTGTTTGATATGAAAATTATGAACCTCCAATTGGTCATCTTTCCGTTTTTCAGCCATGATTTCTGTCAAAATAAAAATAGATACAAATACATTAATACAATATTTTGTAGCGCCAATTCAGTTGTTTAAAGTAGCAGTCGTGTTATTATTCCTGTCAGTGGTGCTGGGCGGAAGTCTGGCAAGGAACAGTGGCTAGCCGTTCGGATGGTACCGAAACCTAGGTCCAAGGTACACATTGTCGAGCACATAAGATTGGGGGTCCGGAGTTCAAGATAAAAATGGGTCGTAGTGAAGCTGTACGGGCAAATTTCCCTCACAGTATACTGCATGATGCATGCACGTCTTTACTAGCCCTGTCGGTTCAAAAATGCAGGACGTTCAAGCACCTTTTATTCATTTCGTTATCAATCCTGTCCAGTCTTTGCTAGTGTAAAATAATAAAGATTATTATCCAAGAAATATGTCTATTGAAGGTCTTTTTCGGGCTCATATTAAATAAATTATTATTTAGACATTTCTTAACATGACAAGCCCTTAATCATCGCGCTGGGCCATCGGGTGGCCGAGATATTTAAATATACCATTAGCGTCATATAATCGTCACTCATATTATACCAATTATGTTGAAGAGCGCCAGTATCACATGACATTCAAACTGCGACCTCTTCGAAGTTACCGTCCTTGGAATCGGCGGAAATTCTTATTGGTGTGTGGCAATCTGTTTCACAGAAGTAATGCCATAGCATTCCTTTAACCCTGTAGAAGACGACTGAACTTTAAGTTCACGTGCAGAATAAGTTTAAGTGTGACGTCACATCATACGGTGTCGATAACACGTGCAGTGTTTACATCGGATGTAGTAACAAAAACTGGTCCGGGTGGAATTTGTGCCTTTTACACTAAATAGGAAATAGTTTTTATCCAGATATACTTCCAACACCTTTATATCGCTTTCAAAAGGTTTCCAGAACGAAAAATCGTAGAAAGCTGAGATGATTGAGTTCATCCTCCCATGACCTCAATGCTTACAACAATATTTGAAAAAAAAAATCGTAATAAAATGTAGCCTTTATCCCTTTCACAAGGTCGTTGGAACAGGGTGGCTTAACTACTGTGAAACGAAAGGTCGCATAACGTCAAAATTCTAACTTCTAATGCATATTCTAATATGCCTACTTCCATACATGTAATTCTTACATATGTTTAAATTGGCTATTTACACATTAAATGCAAAAATACTCATTTGTATGACTTATTTCTTTATTATTTAAGTTGTTATTTGTGTTTTGTTCTCTGTTTATTATTATTATTTTAAAATTAACTGGCATATGTTTGATATAAATGCAGGTTTAAGAGGGCCATAGAAAACGCATTACTTTTTTTTCCCCAAATATTTTATTACTAGGTGGTTTTGTATGTATAATATTATGCAATACTATGAACTATTGTTTCACACAATGCTCCCAAACACAAAAAATATCGGCCCGTGTGCAAAAAAAAATTGCACGAGATGCACATGAAAAACCCAATATTCACGTGCAGCATTGTGTGTGAGCCCTTTAAAAGCATGTTTTCAACTTAATGTGCAGTACATGAACTGTGAAACGTCAATCTGTCGTAATTTGTTGTTGGGCGTGTGAAGGAATCGAGCTAGAGATGCCGAGACTTACTGAAAATGAACGGAACGAAGCCATGGGAATGACCAGGGCTGGCATGTCTACACGTGCTATTGCCAGACACTTCAATTGTCATCAGTCCACTACTGTAAGGTTGGTGGAACGTGTTCGAGTTACTGGATCAACACGTGACCGTCAACTTCCTGGTCCACAACGCGTTACAACCCAGGCTCAAGACCGCTACATCCGGGTCGCTCATCTGCGTGACAGATTCCGCCAAGCAACTCGAACAGGTGCAGCAGTCGTCGGAAGACAAGGACCAGTAAGTGCCAACACCGTAAGACGTCGTCTAAGAGAAGTAGGACTCCGTGCACGACGACCTTATGTTGGAGCTATCCTCAGAGATCATCACCGTCAGCGGCGTTTGATATGGACTCAAGGACACCAGACATGGAGAAGAGTAGACTGGCACAGTATGCTCTTCAGTGATGAGAGTCGCTTTCATCTTTATCACGCTGATGGCCGCCAACGTGTGTGGAGACGCCTTGGGGGACGTCTTGCAGACTGCTGTGTCTTCGAAACGGATCGATGGGGGAGGGGAAGTGTAATGGTGTGGGGAGGCTTCACATTTCATCACCGGACCGTCCTACACATTTGCAGGGGTCGCGTTAATGCTGTAGCCTACCGTGATGATGGCCCGTGGAGGCCACACGCGCTACTGACATCTGTGTCGTACTTTTGGTTTTGACCCCTCTGACTTTGTACCCTTGATTACAGATTAAACATCCATAAGTATACAAATGTGTTGTTATTGATGTGTTCCCATTTGAATATTGTTCACAATAAGAAGCAAAATAAATAAGATATGTTTACAGGATCATTTTGTTATACGAAAAACTAAGTGATGCGTTTTCAATGGCGCTCAGTCGCAATGATATTAGCTCGAGATCATTAAATGACTTAAAATACAGACTCTCCGCACGTGCTTTTACAGTGAAATACGTCACGCGAGTCCAATATTTCGCTAGTATAAATAATGTACGATTGGCAAGTTGCCCGCACGATTATTTGAAATAATAGTACGTCAACATCAAAGGGTGGCGTCACATCTGTATTTGAATGCTAGCGACGAAATTTCGTATCACTTAATGCAACTTAAATAATATATGGTTGAAAAAAAAAGGCTACAATGAAGTTCGTCAGGTAGGTATAATGAAATGAAATGGGGATTAACGTCCAACTGTTCTGCTCCGAATGGGCTAATGAAGACCGGCATACGCCCTACATGTGCTATAAGGGAACTTTTGGCTGGGCAGCAGCGCTATGGCATACTCTTATACCGAATTCCAAATGCCAAGGGATCTTTTATGTGCACGCCAATGTGTACAGAACGACTAGACTTACTGTCCTTGCCAGGTCCTCAGACCTGTACCACTGACAAGGGAAAACCACGTCGGAAAAATCCCGACGATCTTTCTTGGCCAATACAGGGATCGAACACGCAACCTCCAGGCTAGCGAACGAGCGTCCTACCCACTTAGCCGTTGTTGCTCCAAGGTAGATATAATGAAGGCATCTGAAACAAAAAATTCATCGCGATCCATATGAACAGAAATGAAATGAAATGGGGTTTAACGTCCTACTGTTCTGCTCCTATGCTGGGCTAATGAAGACGGGCATACGCCATACAGTGTGCTATGAGGGAAATTTTGCCCGGGCAGCGGCACTATCGCCTACTCTTATATCGAATTCCAACTGCCAAGAGATATTTTACGTGCATTCCAATGTATACACGGGACCTCGGTTTTCCATTTCATCCGAAGGAATAGACAGCTGTCCTTGTCAGGCCCTCCGACCTGCATCACTGACAAGGGGGAACCACGCCGGAAAATCTGGATGAACTTTCTCGGCCAATGCAGGGATCGAACACCCGACATCCAGGCTAGCGAGCCAGCGTCTTACCCACTTAGCCACCACATGAACAGATAAACCCCGTCTCCTATAAAAGTCGTTTTATCCTGCACCACTGACAAGGGAAAACCACGTCGGAAAAATCCCGATGAACTTTCTCGGCCAATGCAGGGATCGAACACGCGTCCTACCCACTTAGCCACTGTTGCACCACGGTAGGTATAATGAAGGCATCAGAAACAAAAAATCCATCGCGATCCACATGAACAGATTAACCTGGTCTCCTTTAAAGGTCTTTTTATCCCCACAATGTTTCTAAATTTCTTTGAACCATTTCATTATAAAGTGACATTCTTGTTAGAGCAGAAATAGAATACAAATCAACAGTATATAAATATTAATTGGCTGAGCTATAACAAAAATAAAATCCTCCAAATCCTGCACTTGTCATCAAATAAATCAACAAATGTTGTAAAGGCTATTTAACATAGTATTTGCAAACTATATCACGTTCGATGTTTTCAATTTTAGCTTTCCGTCCAACTATTCAACCAGACGAAATAATTAAGAAATACAACAAATAGAGATTCATACTAGTAACAGTATATAAATATTAATTGGCTGAGCTATAACAAAAATAAAATCCTCCAAATCCTGCACTTGTCATCAAATAAATCAACAAATGTTGTAAAGGCTATTTAACATAGTATTTGCAAACTATATCACGTTCGATGTTTTCAATTTTAGCTTTCCGTCCAACTATTCAACCAGACGAAATAATTAAGAAATACAACAAATAGAGATTCATACTAGTAACAAATAGGTTAGTTGTTGAAAAGTTGTCTAGCATCACGTTTCATAACGACTATTTAAAAAATATGAAGTAACACGATAAATAAGTCCAGGCTGTTATGTACATTTTTCCACTTGAGAGTCAGAGAGAGAGAGAGAGAGAGAGAGATTAACGTCAACTCGACACAAACCAGGTCATTTTGGGACTTACATATGGTTCAATTTTATTTCAATAATTCGCTCGCGCGTAGGGGCCTTTAGCAGTGGGAGGACCCGGAGAAAACCCACGAGGTTGGACAGGCGACCCTACTCCTTGTCACGTACAACTGGGGAATCGAAACCACGACAGTTAACTCAATGACAGACGTTATGATACAGCGCGCAAGTGCTAATCATTCGGCCATCCAACCCCACTCCACTTGAGAGTATACCGAGTCAAGCAATGTACTGAGTGAAACACTATATCGGAATTATACTTACGGTACCGTAAATACTGCAAAAGATACAGACCAATTTAGATAATGTTAATACTAATTTACTTCCAAAGATTGTAACAGAAGAGGGGGTTTAGCTGTTAGCGAACTCAAAACACAAACTGAAGACTGTCCACACACTGATAATAAATATATCACGTGCAATAGATGGCGCAGAAACGCACGTGCTTTGGTAGTATAAATGAAGGGAGTCCAGGTTTCTTTGTGGATTTGGAGAGAACGAGTTCGCAGACTAAGTGCAGCTTGGGTCTAATAATTGCTGGTTTGACAGCTTGGACTATGGTTTCAAAGGGAAACAGCCAGTCTAGTGGCACCAGCCTCTATGTTTTAGCTAAGATATGTATAGGACACAGGCAATCATTAATTACTATGCTAGTTACCCCTTTCTCGGGTTTTTTTCTTTTTGTTTGTGTATAATCGAAGAAAAGAGCTTGAATATACATTTTCTGTCAGGTTTTGCTGTGAATATTCATGATAATGAGGCCGAAGGATAAGAGAACTAAGAAAGTGTCCATGAGAAAACCACTTACTTACTTTGTTCCCGTATATGAAATATTTGCCTGGTTGATCCATCCGGGGTCATAGAAATGCCGAGATTTGTTTTCCTATCTTGAAAATATCAAAAAAATATGTATTTACCACAAACTTCAGTACTTAATATCTCATTTTCTACATATCTAACAAAATATTCATAATTATAGGACCCTCTCTTCGATCAGAATGACTGAACAAGCTCCCACCTTGTACTTACAAATAACTAATACAACACACCACATTTGTAGCCCCATAACACTTCTTTTGCGGGAATGACCGATGGTATATGAAGGGTGTTATACCCACTCTCCATTGCAAAAATAAAATTGACTAGCAGTCAAACGGATTAGCCACTGTACACGCTGCAAAAGGGTTAATGCGGTCCAATTTTTTTTTTAAAGATACCTGAAATAAACCACCACTATCCAGCAGATTTAATTGGGTTTTAGTTTAGTATTGTTTAATGGGGAGGGCTTAGACCGTTAACCATTTCGTGACCGATGGGTCAATTTTTGACTGAACATCATAAAATAGCATTAATGGGGAAGTGAAATGGAGTTTAACGTCCTACTACTCTGCTCCGACCTGGGCTAATGAAGACGGGCATACACTATACAGTGTCCTGTGAGGAAAATTTTTTTCCCGGACAGCGGCACTACGGCCTACTCTTACATTGAATTCCAACTAGGGATTTTTTACGTGCACGCCAATTTATGCATCGGAACCTCGGTTTTTCGTCCTATCCGAACGAATAACAGTTATAACTCTTATTGTTTAGAATAGTATCACTTGAACGGTAGTTATAATGGCTATATTATGATACTTGGGTATGCAGTTTTAATCAAGCATTTTCGGGTGACAATGTACAATATAATACAATATGCTTAGGTTTGGAAATATATGACATTACTACGGAGGTGGATATTGTATTCACTTTACTTAATGATATATCAAGAAGGTTTGTGTGAGTCTTAACCATAAATATATTCATGTCTTTACTTTGAATCCGGTGTTCTAGACATATTTTCTTTATGTCGCTCGTCAAAAAGTTTTGTAATATGGATATATCCACTATTTGCTAAAGTTTCGTAAAATACAGAATATGCATTTGGTCCGGAACGGTAAAGTATGTCTAAGAAAATCTTCATCTGCTCTCTTCGAATTCCTCCCTTTGAGACTCGCTCTGTATCATCCCGGCTAAAGATGTTTTTACTAAACATAGATGGTACGATGTTTTCGGGATCTATCTCGTTGATCATGTAATCATGAAATGGTTGTAATATTGCCATGTGCTCATCTGGAATACTTTCATTACTCCGCTTTTCCATGACTGAAATAGAAGAAGTACATTTTTTGTAGAACCTTAAGCCACTAATTAGGTGCCCTATGACCTGAGATAACGGTCCAAACTGCCTGTTCATTTAGTTATAGACAAGGTATGTATAGTATGTATAAATATACCCTTATTCCTGAAGTAACGATCTGAGAAGTCTCTCTAATCAAACGAAATACTGCGAGCGGTATGAAATATACTTATATTAAATATATTTTCATGGCACTCGGACAGTAAATATTCAAAACTTTCTCAAAGGGTGCTCATTACATACCACTAATTATTTACGATTATCCACACGGTCCCTTCCAAAAATACCTGATCGACCCTATTGTTTTAGCCAAAATCGCCGACCCTCAATTTCCAAGGTCTTATCAATGCGTTTTTTGCGTGGCTTTCTGCATACAATTTCCATTGCTGAAATCCCGGTAATTTCAACAGCCCAAAGTAGAATTTTCATCTGGAACCTTAAGCAGAATGTGTAAATATTATACACTTAACCTAAAGTATCCATAAAATTGGCATAAAAACGTTCTGAGTACACATGGGCCATTCAGGTGACCTAATTCTACCAGCGGTACGGCGGTAACTATTGTGTTGTGGTACGTTTGGAAACATTATCAATTAGTCCTGAAGTGACTGTACATAACATTTCGAACGGTTGCGTGTTGAAAATGTAGTCTATTAAAACATTAGTTTATTAGCTCAGGTAGTTCTACCCCTTCTTACTCCCCACAGCAACCCCACGACACGAAAACAAGTAATTATAGGTCAAGTAATTATTGACACGGGTAATATGCGTCGCTGGTCAGATATGGAAAGTGAAATTGGCCAAAAAGCCCCCCACGTCCAACTTCTGACGCATACTCTCTTCTCTACTACACATTTTATTAGCCTTATGGTCGTCTAGTATTGTCTCTGGTTATATCTATACATGTAATTCTTTCTTAGGGCTTCTTTTACCTTATGAATTTAAAGCTTACTATCTCGTTAAGACGTTTGTCTACCATGAAGAACAATGAGTGTTTGTTTCTACATTTTTATGTCAAGCACTGGATACATAGGTTAAACGTTTCTTTCGCTCTACCCCCTAACTCACAGATCGAGTTTACTGACGAAACACGCTACATCGTACAAATCAATGGGGTCTACTCAGATTGTGTCTCTTGAATCTAGCGATCGCCCAGAGCTCTGATGATTTTCTACCCTTGGGTTCGGCTTTCAATTATCGAATTGGGCAAGTATGATGTAATTGATTATAAGGACTGGTTACTTAACCACGTGGTGCAATAGTGCATAAGTGATCTGGTGATATTTTGTTTTCACACAGAACCAGCTATGTTTACCAAATTGTAAATCTTTTTATGTGTCAACCCATCACTTATTCATTTGAGTGCGTGAGATGTATCTTGTCTACGAATGTAACCAATAACCAGCCAAGAGCATACTATTAATATGACAAAATTGTTCTGGTCAACGCACAGAACAAAGTATGCATCTTTAGTGTTCTCAATAGCATTAATATTATTTTAGATTGAATATATGGACAACTGTAGATCGTATAGTAGAATTGTGTACATAATACGTAATCATGTAACTCTGTCGTAAGAAAAAGTAGGGTTTTGAGTATAACATACTTTCCAAGCCTCGTTTCTAGATAATAAATATATTGCTTATAAACACCATATGAAAACAATACTTGGTTACAGTTTTGGACATTCTCCCCATTTAAAAATAACCTAATTTTATTTCCTATTGTTCAACATTTTCCCGATTAGTCTCAGCCACTCTCTGTCTATACCAGTATGCTCATGATGCTGAATGCAGCGCAAAATTATTCAGAGTAGAACCGTATTTAATATACTGCGATCCTTACGCGTCTAAGTTTTCCGATTTTTCTTTCCTAAAAATCATTTCTTTTTGGGGAGTTTAGATTACTCGGCTCACCAAGAACATTATTCTTGGCGATCAGAATATACAATTTTACTCGGCTAACTCTTGTTATTGACAATTACTACAGATGATATTTTACAAGCAAAACACACATTCTTATTACAAATTGTTGAGATGAATTTCGTCTCATATTTATTTGCAAAATTGAATTTTATTTATCCAATATAACAAAACGGCAGTGGGCGTATTACATAGCGAGCAGCATAGATCTATGAATTTTAATTTAACATAAAATTATCTGTGATTACTGAATGGTATTGACCGGTATTCCTATTAAGAGATTCATCTTTAATAACAATCTTGTAGGGGTGCCTATGCTGCTAAATCACGCAATTGCGCATTTGATTATCTCCAATCTAACTTTGTAGCGAAGTTGTATATCGATAGGTTTCGTCCCTGGCGGACCAACAAAGAACGATGACAGTCGGCAAGTTTCATGCTCAATGCTCCCAATTCTTCACAGTGGAGAGCCCACAACTTTGTTACAAATTTTGCGGCCATAACCTGCTGGGAAGTTACGGTCCGATAGGGTACCACGCATCCCAGATCGTTTGATCCTATTGTAATAAAAACGTTAACGTTAACGAGCTATGTAGGTGATTTTCGTATAATCGAGGTTAATAATCCAGAAAATTACTGTACGATAGGTCCCAAAATAAAACCCACGCGAGGGCTTTGTGATATTATCAAAATAGGAAACAAAACGTAACCTTTACAGTGCCCATTGTAAACATACCTATATTTCGTTTACCGTTTATTGGAAAGTCAATCCATAATATAAGATAAACCAATGTCAAGGTTATGTGTTCTTAGTCATGGTTCGTTACTACCAGCGCATGTTGTTAGCGCTACTCAATCCTATGTCGTAAAGTTATGGCGTAAATAAACCATAGCACACTCTAAAGATCTAGTTTTCATAGAACCTAACCGGACAATAAATATACATGGTGTCAGAAGTGATCACTTATTTACTGGTGTAAGTAGATTTGTGTGAAGACAAAATAATTCTATGAGAGACTATAGGCATACGGTACGGTTACGAAAACTAAAATGGCGGCAAGTTTGGCTCAGGCTGCATTTTTAGACAAAGGTCCATCAATCAGTTTGTTGAAGGGTGAGGGATTGTATTCCAGATATAAGATTTGGAGACAACAATGCTCCACTTTTGTTTACTGGTCCCATGAATAAACTTGAAGAGGATATCAAGTGTAAATATTTGTTGTTTTGGTCCGGTGAGTTCGGGTTAGAACTTTTTAACAGTTGGAATCTTTCAGAAGCAGATCAAAAACATCTTAAACTACTGGTTCGAAGAGTTTGTTAAACCCCAGTCTAATGAGTTGATGGCTTCTGGGAACTTCATGTAATTAAACAAGGTGACTTATCTTTAGAAGAATTTATAGCCAAGTTACGTTTGTTGTTAAAAGAAGCAAATTACCCACCTGAGTATTATGATCGTTTTCTACGAGATTATCTTGTTTTCGGAGTTAGAGAGTGTTTTAAAATTGGTAATAATATTAACTTTGAGAGAGTTAAAAGTATGGCCAAGGCTGCAGAATCTGCAAACCAACAAATGTCAATAATTGAGAACAAATTGAACGAAAAAGAAACGTCAGTTTTACCAATAAATAAGTTTAAAAAGAAGTCTATGTTTAGTTCTAAACATAAATCAAATAAACAATTTTCTTATCAACAACAGAGACAAACACAAACTAAATATCATAATATGAAACAAACAGAAAATTGTGGTAGATGTGGTAATAAAGTCCATTCTAAACAAGGACACTTTGCTGATTATTGTTGGAGTACTAAAAAATAAGCAGATTAATCAGATCAATTATACAGAAGTTAATGGTGGTGGTAATGAAGTATCTAATCAAGATTACAGTTCAGTTTTTCTAGGCCCAATCGAAGTGTTACCAGTTAACGAAGAGCCACAAAATAGTGTTAATATTCTATCATGTAAGGAAAAGGTACTTCTTGAAGTTAAGTTAAATATTTATCAAAAGTTGACTCTGGTGCCGAAACTAATATACTACCTTATAGTATATTTAGTAAATTGTTCATAGAAGACTTCAAATTACAGTGTTCTAAGCATAAACTCTTAGCTTTCGGTGGAACAGAAATTAACAGTAAAGGCGTTTGTGAAGTCTTAGTTGAATCTCCAAATTGAAGTCTCAAGTGAGCATGTTTTGAAGTTGTTGATATCAAGAGTCTAGTCATTATTGGTAATGTCTTAGCCCAGGATTTAGATCTTATAAAGCTTAATTGGGAAGTTACAGCATCAAATTTGCCCTCCAAAACTTCAAGTTCTGAAAAATGTACAGTTAAATTATTTGATGTAAATGGTATCAAGCATCCACTTCCTGTTACAAAAGAGTATCTTTTGAAAGAATACCAAGATGTTTTACTGGTATTGGTAGTTTTCCTGGAGAGCCCTATCATTTAAATATTGATAATAATATACCTCCTGTACAACATGCCCCGAGACAAGTTCCTGTACATATGCAACAAATGTATCAAGAAGAATTGAATTGTTTAGAGGAACTTGGTATTGTTTGTAAAGTTAATGATGAATACACTGAATGGATTAACTCAACAGTGATTACCCCTAAACCAAATAGTCATAACATAAGAATGTGTTTAGACCCTCGTGATTTAAATGTTGCTTTGTTACGTAATCCATATTATGTTAGAAAGTTAGACGATGTTATACCTCGACTTTCTGGTGCTAAATATTTTAGCATCTTAGATGCAAGTAATGGTTTCTGTCAAGTTAAATTAGACGAGTCAAGTAGTAGACGTTGTACATTTAATACCCCATGGGGAAAATACCGTTGGACTAGACTACCTTTCGGTTTAAGTGTGAGTGGTGACATTTTTCAAGAGAAAATGGATTTTGTTTTTGGTAAATTACCAGGTTTAACTGGTATCGCGGATGATACTTTTGTTTACGGTTCAAATGAACTAAATCACGACAGAAATATTATTAATGTTTTAGATACAGCTCTTGAAAACAATATCAAGTTCAATCCAAGTAAATTTCA